TCTACAATGGAATGGTTCACAAATAAACATATCCAGGTGTTAGAATGGCCAAGTCAAAGTCCAGACCTGAATCCAGTCGGGAATCTGTGGAAAGAACTGAAAACTGCTGTTCACAAATGCTCTCCATCCAACCTCACTGAGCTCGAGCTGTTTTGCAAGGAGGCATGGGCAAAAATTTCAGTCTCTCGATGTGCAAAACTGATAGAGACATACCCCAAGTGACTTACAGCTGTAATCGCAGCAAAAGGTGGCGCTACAAAGTATTAACTTAAGGGGGCTGAATAATTTTGCACGCCCAATTTTTCAGTTTTTTATTTGTTAAAAAAGTTTGACATATCCAATAAATTTCGTTCCACTTCATGATTGTGTCCCACTTGTTGTTGATTCTTCACAAAAAATTACAGTTTTATATCTTTATGTTTGAAGCCTGAAATGTGGCAAAAGGTCGCAAAGTTCAAGGGGGCCGAATACTTTCGCAAGGCACTGTAAATTAAAAAAAAAAAAGATAATCAAGCCAGCCTTCTGCTCCTTTAGTCAGTTTTTGATAAGGCAACTATCCAACCCTAAGCCAAATATGCAGTTCTTAACCAAGACATTTAAGGGTTAAAATTAGAAACCAATTGTGCCTTGTAACATCACTGACCATGTTTGTGGCTTCACTGGTTTGTCTTATTACCACTATCCAAGGCTGAAAGTTATTTTAAAGGCATTTAAAATGCTGGGGATGCTGTTTAACCACACTGGTCTCAGTGAAAATATTGAATGTCTGCCAACACTAAGGCTGCATTTAGTTTTTGTAGCCTCGTCACTGCCAAACAAAAGACAGCAGTAGTAGAGAGAAATTGTGACCTCATAGCTGCCTTTAACTTGTCAATTTCTACTCCACACAACACTAGATAAACTGATATGATGTCCATAATAAAGTAAGTCCTGCTGCCAGTTTCTCCCTTTAGGATGTAAACAGTATTTAAGCACAAACCTATTAGTTTGGCTGAAACCTTGCTCCTTTCGGCAGGGAAGAAAATCTGGAGCACAGATTTAATGAAATGTTAACTCACGAGGTTGGCCAGGACATTGTATATGCTGCTTATCGAAGTTTGCATTAAGACCTGGTGCATCATCCAAACTAGACTCAAGTCTGGTCTCCAGGACTTGCACAGTCCAGCGTTCCCTAGTGTCAGAATGTATTTTCTGCAGGACTTGATCAAACTCCTGAGCATTTTTAACGATTTTTTTTTTTATTCATTTATGTTGCAAGTGCTTTACAAGGGTGCATTTTAAGTTCTGTTTCCAAAAGAACAAATAATCTTTACAACTGAAAATCTAAAGGTGGAAAATCACAAACACATTTAGTATTAATATACATATACACAATATGAAAACCAAAATTGCTTACTGGCTTTTGTTGACAGCCCACAACATGACAATTCTTAATGGTTATAATGAATGTAGGTTCAGCTGTACAATCAAATTATATAATCCTCAACTTGGTCAACAATATCTAAACACATTTTTCTCAGTCTGTCCTAAATGTGACCTGCATTTTGAGCCACAAGATGTCAGAGTTGTTTTGTGCCTCACAAACCAGCTCAATTTTACTATGAACCATGACAAAACGAGAACACTTTTCTCAGATAATACAGATGTTTATCATGCTTTTGGGGTGCAAAATTAAGAAAAACCAGGAGACCTTAAACTATGTTCTCCATTTCTTTAGAATGTGCCTTTGTTTTGTTTCATTTTAAATATTTGATTTTTATGAATCTGACATTTTATCTCAAATTCCTTATGTACCTGATATTTAGTTCTTTTGAAAGTGAACTGTGATTAGATTTTATATAAAAGAAAATAAAAAGTTCCTTGCGCTGCTGTAACCTACTGGAGACCAGAGGAGGAAAGCAAAAAGAGCAGATAAAGGAAATAAGGGAAACAGTTTGAGAGTGCAAAAATGTGAAGGAATGAGGGAGAGGACGAAAATGAATTGAAGCATTGTGAACACAGTTCATTATACCAAAGCTGAACACAGTTTGTATTAGGGCTGTACTTATCCTCCTTTTGCTTTAATACTTGTAAGAACAGTCATTAGCAGAACATCTCAGCTTCTGTCCACCTCAAGATGGAAGAGCTAGGAATCCAGTTGCTGATCTAAATAAAGACATTTGGTCTAGGTCAAAATATGCATTTTCTTTGTAAACACTGAACATTTTACACATATACACAAAAAAAGACAAAAAGCAAAACTTACTCCATGTTGCTTTTCAGCTGATGCACAGTACGTTTGTCCAGGTAACGGCAGAAGAGAGTGAGCAGATTTGAGGGCAGGAGGAGCGGCTCCACTAGCAAACACTGGGATAGCTGCCCCGCCACCAGAAATATTGTGTCGGTCCTAAGACAATAACAGACTACTGAGAAGGTATAATCATTATTTACATGACAACTGCAGTGACAGTAATACAAAGGGACTGACAAACCCACAAATGAACCACTGAAATGCAATTTCCCTTAGCTTCAAGGAGCTTTCAACTCATTGTTTTGGTATTGTGGCTTACAACTTTGCAGTTCCATGTGGACAGCTCATTTCTGCTACTGAAAAAAAAAAATTGCAGGTTTATGATTCTCACCAGGCCTCAAAGTCACCAATGCTGGGCTCTAAAGGTGCACCTGAGGACAGCAGCTTCTCTCCTTGGGACAGGAGAGCATAGAGTAATGACAGCCCAAACTAAAAGGGGAAAAACAGCAAGAGGAAACCTCAAAATCTTTTCCAGAAAAAATGGCACTAAATAAAAGTCCAACAAACAAAGCACAAACCTTGTTCTGACATGTCAGCGTGAGGCCCTCATATGCTGACACAGACTCAGGTGATGTGAGCTCTTTGAGAACGCCAATGAGCTGACTGAACGTCAGGCCTCCAATCACATTTCGAAGAGAGGGGTATAGCACCGGAAGGGCCTGAAAAAGAAGAGGATGGAAAAGTATACAGCATGCTCAAGAGTCTTCAACTATGCCCCACATTCTTTAGTGGATAATGCTGAGCCAAGTACAGGAGAGCTGTAATGATTAGTCGATCAACAAACTTAATCAGCAGTTCTGTGTCTTATGACAGTCAAGTGAAAAAATTTTTTGCTTTCTGCATTGTTTGCACAAAATGAGCATTTTAAGTCACTGTGTGGTTCTGGGAGATTACACAAAATGATTAATTGGAAGATATAAATTAAGTAATCTTTAGGTGCAGCCTTAGAGCCAAGTACAAGTGCTTAACCATGAGAAAGATTAAGGAACTTTAAAGCCTAATGTACAAATGCCCCCCACCTCGTCTGTATCTCTGTTCATCAGCGTCGGTAGGTTAGAGGCCACAACGCTCAAGATTTTCAGAGAGGTGTCAGGTTTCAGGAACGGGAGCAGACGGGCAAGAAGCTTTTTGCCTTTTGAGACCAGCAGGAAGGGAAGAAACTCCCCTCCTGAATCTCTAGATAAACAGGTTTGAAAAAATTTGGCACTCAAATTCAATATCCATCCAAATATTAATAAAGCTTTACAATTATAGTTAAACTAAAAACAAAAAGCATAAGATACAAAAAAAAACCCTCTACAAGCAATATTTACACTGTATGCTTCACTTCTTGCAAGTGACAGGGTGTCTAACTCACAGGGGGCCATGGTGTTGCAGCTGGGAGTAGATGTGCTCCACTTTCTTCTGGGTCTTCTCCGTCAGTCTTCTTTCATCTGCTTCAGAAGAGACTCTAGTTTTTGTCCTCTCCATCTCCTCCACCTCCAACAAAATTATGAACAACTGCAGAGCAAAACAGGCCATGACCACGTGTTGGAGAAGAAGCTTTTAAAACATCTCACTGTATCAGAACAAGTAACCAGCAAGTACCTTTTCCAGTTTGCTAAGGATCTCTAACCGCTGTTGTCTGATATCCTTTTGTTCCTGTAATGTGGAAGCAATTCTCCATATCAGCAAAGGCAGGTTAACACACTTCTAAGATGGCAGAAGTGTTCAGAAAAAGTCACCTCAAGTGGACCCTGAACTTGGACTGCATGAACTGCACTGATGGCACGGCGAGGAGAGTAACATGTGGACACGGCAACTTGACCCAAAGAGCCTTCAATGTGCACCACTGAAAGAACAAACATATCTTCCACAAATGTACAAGAAGATGTGCAGCACTGCAAGTGTAAGCAGATAGAGCTTTCATTACACCTTTACAGTGGAGTAGACTTGGTTTCAGAGGGGGATGCACAACAAATACATCATGCAAGGCATTTTTGAAGACATTACCTGTGTATAATAAGATTTATTTCAAACTAAAACCATGACAAGTGCCTGCAGGTATTCTTTCAACACCAGCTTAAGCTTACTGCAAATCAAAGTGACTGATGAGTCTATCAGCATTTATCAATTCAGATCTCATCTGAACTATGGTGACTGGACAGTAAAAGACTAATGGTTGAAGACATAAGTGAGAATCAACCTGAAATGTAGGAAACACACCAAAAGTGATTTAGAAAATTTCTCTGTGGGAATCGCACCCTTACTTTGGTGGCTGTATGGATTCATACTGTAACATCAAATGCCAAATAATGTGGTCTAGTAGCATGAAAAAGTGACTAAACACCTGGCGTGTACAACTCAGTCTTCATGATATAAGGTGTAGTGAGTTTCAGCGGCTCCTTCTTGCTCCTGATGCCTAGCTCTTCCTCGGCCATCTTAGCTTCTAGCCGTCGATAGTATTCCTAGGCAAGGCAAGTTTATTTAATCTAATTTGCATTCAAGTATATTGTCTGTATTGTGTTAAGCACTTGAACTGCCTTTGTGACTTCCAAGCAAAGAGTTCCTACCTGGTAATAGTAGTCCTCAAGGTATGGATTCTCACTTTGCAGCTGAATCATCTGCAGCCTGGTGATCCACTCCTTCTCTTTGGCAGTCATTAGATTACAGTAAGGATCCCAGCCCTCTGCTTTTCTACAGACAGGGTTATTCTCTTATAAATACACTTACTACCTTTTCACTACATACTGCATGTGACAAAATGACTTCAAAATCTTTACTTGATGTAGCACCAACCTTTGGAATGTGTGTTGTTTTTGACTAAGTATTCGTTTGTGCTGGGGGTGAAGCTGGGCCACAGGACTAGGGTACCTGGGGTTCAGAGAAAGACTTCACATTCAATCTTCAACATTTCCATTAAAATAAATAAATAAAAATTGGTGTGCTTTCTTACATGTAGTCAGAGCCAACATGTCAATTTATCTTTATGCAAAATGAACAGACATTCAGTATTAAGCTTTCATTTTCAGAATGTTAAACCCATGAAAGTTCTTTCAAAAGTACAACTGTCCAGTTACCAGGATAAATCTAAATTGCACAGTACATCTTGAGAATGTTGTACTAGCTTTAGTTCAGTTTGACTCATGTTTGGTCCTCATTTTCTGTCATTCCGACTTGCACTTTTAGAAGTTCTCTTTTGCTCAAGAACTTGATGTGCAGCCTAGTCATATCCTCTCATGCTGAAGTAGGTTTAGGCCTCCAGCAAAACCACTACTTTGCTTTTTCCTTTTCATAAAAAATATATTTCAGAGAGTTAACATTTCCTCTCAGTATCAGTCAATATCCAAATTGAGCTGCACATCAGTATTTGGGATGTATACCTGCATATTCCATCTCCAAAGGTCAGAGTTGGCCATTATTCCATCTTTACCTTGTCAATACATATATTAAAGCCCATGATTGTATGCAATCTATGAAAGTCAGGTCAATGCTTTATATACACAAAAAATGCCAAGTAATAAATATACTTGATACTTAAACTTTGACCACAAATATTTTAGACTACAAATAATACATTCCTGTTAGATACATGGAGGTGATCACACACCTGACGAGCTTCACTGGATTAGATGAGGGGCTGTAAAAGGGGGATGGTCTTGGTGAGTTGGAACCAAAGTGAAGCTGCATAATCTCAGGAGTCAGAGCCTGAGGAGTGGAAGGGCATGGGTGGTTCAAAGGAAACATGAAGCCCCTCGTCTGGTTCGGAACAAAATGTCATTTGTCAGGATGAAAACTGTAAATACATCTGGCATTTGCCTTAATGCATCAGAATAGGTCTGACTTATTGTGGAATTAACCTGACTGTAATGCTGCCGTGGTGTCAGTGGTTGACGTGGGAAGACAGGTGATCCTGAGATTATGGGTGAATGCATCTGGAAGACAGGTTTCCCAGAAAGTTAAGTTTAATAAAGTTGACAGGCAACACATTTCAATGGGTTTAAATAAACATTTAGACCATATGATAATGTACCTGCATTAAATGTTTTTACATGGAGTAAACAACACAAGTATAATGTGTTCATTAAAGAACTTTAGGAGATGCTGGTTGGTGGAGGGGTTTTTTGTTTTGTTTTTTTTTCTTTGCTTTGGACAGAAACAGGCTAGCCATTTCCCATTAAAGACCTTTAGGAGATGCTGGTTGGTGGGGGGTTTTTTTGTTTTGTTTTTTTTTCTTTGCTTTGGACAGAAACAGGCTAGCCATTTCCAGTCATTATACTAAGCTGCGCTAACCTGTGTGCTGCAGTGAGTTACAGTAAAGACACCTATGCAAGTGAGATTAACTGTTCATCCAGCTCTTGACAAAAAAAGAACCCAAAGTCAAACTATTCCTTTAAACTAAATGGGCATCATGTAAAATGAACTCCCCACCTGAAAGGGACTTCTCTGTCCAAACTGTCTCCTGGGGTAAGGTTCTCGAGGTTCCCCTCTCCTGCCCCTGAAGGAAGAGACAGGGTTTGGAAAATCCAGGAAGTTGGAGGTCAGGTGCTGACCTCTGCCTCTGTCACCATCAATCACACACACTACAGCACTGTCCTATGAAACAGTAAAATAAGAATCTGTTTAAGTAACTCACTGTCATAAGATTATTATGTGTTCTTTAGTTATCTTAACCTGAAGTATTGATCCTGAGATTCTTCTGGTCTTTCTGTAAGTGGGCGACATCCACTAAGAAGGGACAAAAGAGACGGTGAAAATATTACCAGCACAGACAGTTATGTCGTCTTAAAAAGGTGGAACTTACATCATCGTCAAAGGTTTTCTGGTACATGGAAATCCCACAGTCCACTATAGCACTGTCAAGACTCTGAAAAGTGAAACAGACTAAAATGAAGACAAGCAGGCGTGTGACGGCCTGCGTCATTTCAATTTTCAGACCAATGATTCTGCTTCACCTTGAGGCTTGGGCACCCCTCTACTATCCTCATCACAGCTGGGTCTTCAAACATCTGCCCCCTGTTCATCTGTGCCCTCCCTCTGCCTCGCTGCCCTGGGGGAACCCGGGGGAGGTACTGTGGCCTCTGTCTGGGAGGGGAGGGGGAACTGTGGCCAGACAGCGGACTGGGGTCTGGTGGTAGAGGTGGTGACTCTCCAAACTGAAGGGGACTGCTGTTGGTGTCATCAGTGGTCTCGTTTGCATCGAGATCTGCAATGCAGACACAAAGATGGAAGAACACCATGTTAGTCTTGATCATTTTTACCCGTGATCATATAAAGTGAGAATGTTTCACAAGCATTCCCTGTTCTCTTAGTTACTGTGATGTTTATAAAGACTTGAACACTGATCATGGGCTGACAGCATCTGCCCATTATGTTGAATGCTATAAGAGTAGACAGCACACCATTTATTTGCCTATAAATATTCTTCATCTATAGTACTTTTTCCTGTCTTTATTTTTATTGTTCATCTTTTGAGCTTGTTCCTTACTGTTACTGTGTTTCAACTCTTCTCCTCCACACTACAAATGACATGTTATTCTGCAACAAGCGGCAAATAAAGTTTAAGTTTAAGTGTATGAATGGTTAAAACACAGTACGAGGCCCATGTAAACACAGTGTACAGATCTGTGTTACCTTATGTAGGCTATTAAAGCCAAAATTTCTTAACACTGATTTTACCCCAACAAGAAACCATAATTTCTCATCTCAGACGTTTGCTTCTTTAAAAGTAGTTTGATATCTATTTGATTTTTGATAATATCACTCAAGGATTCACAGTAAATATGAAGCTATACAGCCCCCGGCCAGTTAGCTTAGTGCAAAGAGTAGAAACTGCTAGTCTGGCTCTGTCTGAAGGTATCAAATCCAGGGGCCACGTTTATAAACCATTGCACAGCTGTGTGCTTAAATCATGTGTATGGGTCTGGGGATCCATGCGCACACACACAACTTAATCACATGCTTTCAAACATAAGTCCAGGCCGAGAATCTTCCACATAACCTATGTAAACCAGCAAATGGCTGTTTCTTTTCATGAATGGAATTAATCTTTTCACCCACCTCTAGTTAAGAAAGTAATGCATTTCAAAATGCTGAACTACACCTTCAGATTTAGTTAGAAAGTGTTACACTGGTTGCAGAAGCTGGTCGGGCTTTTGCCCTGAGGACAAAATTACATTTATTCTGGGATTTAACATAAAAAAAAATACACACCCATTCCAAACGTCTCCTCGTTGTGGACATTTATGTCCTCATCCTCCTCAGCCATGGCCTGCAGGAATCCACAGTCCATACTGGTCCCATCCTCTCCATCACTCCACTCCTCTCCATTCTCAGGCCACTCAGGCTCAGGCACTTGCTCTGCCTCCTGGGGAGTTGGGCACCATGTGGAGATGGGAGGGGAGGGGAGAGGAGGGGGGAGGGGAGGGGAGAGGAGAGGAGAGGGAGACGCTCAAAAAGAAACTGAACGGTTCAATAAAACTTCAGCCAAGCTGCTTCTGTCTAAAAACAATGTAGTCCACCTATTTAAATAACATTTTCACAGCCATTGTTGAAAAGTAACTTAAGGGCATCAGACATTGTGTGGAAACTGTCAAAGGCTTATTTTCAGCACGCAATGAAGCCCCGAGCGCAACGTGAACCCGGAATTAAGTTTGCCACTTGCCCAATACAACAATATTCACACGTTTAGAATCTCAATTACACCAACTTACTTGTTGTTGCCCTGAATCACTCATTGTGTATTTTGGAGACGTTTGTTTAACACTCGGAGCCGACGTGTCACAACGACTTTGTTCCCAAGATTTCCCGCTGCTTCTTCTCAGACAGATAGGGAGGCTCATTAACTTAACTGAGCGCACCTGTCAGGTGCAGAGGCGTGGCTACGTCGTCTAGCGTGCGTTGCATGCCGCAAATTACGCATATTTAATTGACTTAGAAATTCAGGTATAATTTTTTTTTTAACTGGAAATTATGGATTTTACCAGGTTCTGCTGTTTGCCCTTCTGGGAAAAGCAGTAAACCAATCCTGACACCTAATGGTCAAAGTCAACCAAAGTCAAAAGCTTTTTTGAACCCATGAGTTCATGTAAGAGATAAGAGATATACACAAAAACTGTCTTTCTAATGTTTACGTGGATGTAGTCTGATCTGATTTCTGATCGGGTTTACTGAAAATGGTTACTATTCCAGCATCACCTCACTTCTCTTGATGCTCCAAAAAACAATTTCAATCCCAGTCAGTTAACTTCCCACTACATCTCACTGACAGCAGAAGGTTTATCAAACATTATTGTCACCTAGGAGAAAAAGGACACACTTTAAAATAAAAGAAATGCCTTAGAAATCATCGTTAGATTGTGATGACTGCTTAAGAAATAAAGTATTCACCCTCTGTAGAAATGTCACTTCCTGACAGTGCAGCTAAACTCCTTATTCTATACCTGTACATGCATTTGATTCATTCATTCACAAAACAAAAAGTTGTGTTTACCTTTATTTTAGTCTTTGGAATTGTTTTGGGCAAACTGCATAGAACTTTAGTGAAAGAATAATGCAAAAATATCTGACTTTAAACACATGTTAGCTTAGTTTGTTACACAAAACCATATATAGCAGTCAGCATTTAATATATAAAAGCAATGGCAGTGGCATACTTTTTGAAATATAAAGCAAATATATTAAAGGGGATTTTCTTGCACAACAGTACAAGTCTTTGAATGAAACAATACATTTGTTCTCATTATACTGTATCTTTTCTACCTTTGGCAAAAGAAGTCAATTTTCAATATTCAATTTGAATCAATACAGTATGTAAAAGATTTACATACATGACAAAATTATGTGGCATAAATTTCTATCTGTCTAACCAATGCTAGATTTCTCTAAATGTGGTCAACGTTTTTGTCAAATACACAGAAATGAGTTGGGTTGAATGATTCTCTCTTTTCTCTCTTCCTCTGTTGACTCTAATGTTTTAAAACCAAGAAAGAGACCAGCTCCACCCTCATTCCCACAGTAAAAAAAAAAAAAAAAACTGAACTCAGCGCATACAGTTTCTCTGACCCAGAGGATGGGAGGCAAAGTCCTTTTTGTGTCCTCAACCAAAGAGTTTGATGAAACAGGGGTGGCAGTATGGCTTGTTCTCCTGCTCCTTGAAGCAGCCTTTGCTCAGAGGCTTCAGGCAGAAGTGACACACAAGGTGGTGGGGGTGGAATTTGGCCCCCATGGCAGTGACACAGCGGCCCAGGATTGGCTGCTGGCAGTGACAGAGAAAAGCAGTGACAGAGAGCCCTGATTACAGAGCTGTAATGTGAAATTACAACTCTGTCATGACATCATCCCAACTTATTTTAGCGTTAGGGTGTCTGGAAAACATTTATTACATGGTAGTTTTTCCTGAGAGCTTTTTTCAGGAACATCATATGCACACTCACACTGTACCACCAACATCTGAACTGTCAGTCACAGAACAGCTTTACTGTGGCAGTTATGGGGAAAATGTCTGAATCAGTGAATCATGTGACACTAATAACAGTGTGTTGGTTTCAAAAATGCTCCATGACCTATTTCCAGCAAAGATTTTAGAAATACTGAGGTTATAAATCCAGAACTTCACCATGTGACACACCACCAACCAACCTCTGTTTAGTGAGCCTTTAAAAAACCCAACATGTGTAAATGAAGCATCTAAAGTCCTCATCATGTCATTATAACCCCCCACAACTGTCCGCAGTACTATCTATGATCCTGCGTATAATATTACCCTATATATTCCTTCTCCAATCAACCTGACTTTTTCTCAGAGTTAATTAGTGTTACAGTGCTACAGCACATACCAGCATAATCCGTGGACACAGTCCTCAAGCCCAGAGACAAACACTCACCCTACATACGAAGCATTGTGGGTGCCAGAGAGAGTTTAGAGCTGAGATGTAGTTTTCCAGAATAGGCTGGCTGCAGCCTTGACAGCGAGAGGCAAACAGAGTCAAGAAGCACTGCTGGCAGTACTGCTGGCCGTCGCGGTCATGGAAGCCTGCAGAAGACATGATCACAAGAGTTAACCAGACAATGCCGAACACTGGTCTCAACCTTTTCAATGTAACTGGTTTGTGGAACATTAAACGTCATTATGGTTGTAATGCTTTCCAGTTTTACTGATCTTTTAATGGATGAGACTATTCCCTTTTTTTCTTTTTGGTCTCAAAGCCTGTAAAACCTTAAACTTGATCATTTTCCTTCCAGTAAAACAAAGATTCTGTGTTCCTGTGTTTTCTTAGAAGGGTGAAACTGCCTTTGCACCAGAGATTAGGTCACAAGACATGAATGTCTCCTTTGAAAACCCCATCAATTAAACATTTAGGGGATCATATGGCAGAAATAAAGTCAGTATCAGTAGATTTCTGGAACATAATTGAAAACTTCCAATTAAAAATCTATAAATACAATAAACTTGTTTTTTTCTGAGGCTCTTTGTATGTGTGACCTCATTGCAGTTCACAGTTAACATCTGTGTGTTAGACCCAAACAGGATACAGTATGTGCTGCCCATTACCTTCCTCTCCAAACGCCCGGCTACATTTAACACAGCAGAAACACTCTGGGTGCCAGTTCTTGTCAAGAGCCGTGACCATTTTCTAAACAAGAGGGGGGAAAAGGTTAAATAGCTTTAAATGGGTTGTGGGAATGTATTTGAGCTGATCCTGTTGTAATAAGTTCAAAATGACCTATATACTGTATGACATGTGCACATCCAGGTGTCTCACATTTAGTATGGGCTTGTTGCAGTGTGCACAGTGAGGGGAGAAGAGTGTGAAGTAGTCTGACTCGCAGTACGGCCGCCCGTCCTTCTCAAAGAAGTTGCGACTGCCCAACTCTGTCTCACACTCTGTGCACACAAAGTGCTCTGGGTGCCAAACCTTCCCCAGAGCTGTCACCACCTGCATGATGAAACGGGCAAATATCAAGTTGAGTTTTTAAAAAAAAGGCTTATATGCATCAATATGTAGACTTATAACTCACTTGTCCTACTACTGGCTTTTGACAGGCTGAACAGTTTCCCTTGGGGGAGGTCTGAACTCCTTGTCGGCTCAGATCCGATTGGAGGAGTCCCAGCATGCTGTCCAGCGAACCGCCTGATGAGGGCTGTGGGAGAGTGGCGGACTGCTGCTGCGGCGCTGTCACCACTGGAGTGACAGGTGCAGCTGGCTAAGAGAAGAGAAAGAAAAACAACAAGTGGTACATCTGTCTATGGGATTTACATTCTCCAAGAGCTTATTGTTGCTCTGCAGTTGGTCTGAAATCACCTGCAATGAAACACAGTGAGGTAAATATCAACACCTCAGTATCACAAGGTAGCAGTAACTGTCCAGCTGTGTATTTTTCTTTCTTCCCATAACCCAAACTTACAATAACAGAACTATGTCCTTTGCTCACATGCTAGTGACTGACTTGCTGAAAAGGAAAATAACTAGACTGCAGATCTATAACTCTGACTTTTAACTATCTGAAGTTATTTTTTCAAGCAAGTAAAAATCTCCCTGAAGACTAATTTCCACCCTCAGGCCATATCTGGTGACTGATTTATACAAGGAAGCATGTTTGTGGCTGGGCCACACAGTAGGAGTTAGTCATCGTGAAGTCAAGTGAAGAACTTCATGCATCCACAATGAATCAGTGTGAGTTGTGCTAAAGCTGGGAATGAATGGGAGGAAGAAAAAACCATATTCTTGCAGTAATGTTCAAGCTGTTGTGTGGATTCTTACTGTGCTCTGGACTCTGAAGTCTGACAGAGAAGCCATCAGTTTGTCCAGCTCCAGTGTGGCTGATGTTGCTGAAGGCTTCGCAAAACTAGAATACAAAAGACAACTCGTGTTTTAACCAGCCCACAAAATTCACTGTTTTATCTGATGTAACCCAAGATTCTGCTCAAACTAAAACCTAGCTAGTCAGTTTGGGTATTTATAACCTATTCAATGATTTAACAGTCTTTGATAAAGTTACAGTAAATCTGCACAAAACAGACATGAACGTAAAGTTAATTACAACAGTTCCCCACTCATATATATATTGCTACAAATCAGTCGGTGTACACTAAAAGTGACCTGGAGTAAGCATCAAAAAAATCCTAGTTTTGGCAGAACAGTAGACCTACAGTATGTTGCAAGCAGGGGATGGATCTAGAAAGTTTTGGCCAGGCTGGCAAGGGGGAGGCACAGGCTGAGGGGTGGCACATTTTAAATACATGAAAAAAAATTAATTAACCCACCAGTTCTATGAAATAATAAACCATACATTATCAAGAATCAAATGATTATTTTGTGTAAAAGTGAGACACACATTTACACTCCTCATTTACTCCCAGCCAGGGACATCACTGTGTGCAAATTTTTATTCATTAATATTGCCAAGCATCACATTTTGACTGTGGCACGGGTGGGACCGGGGAAGGCCGATCAGATTCTGGCAGCAGCCAGTGCCCCTCGGCCACCCCCTGCTAATGTAAACTACAGTGGAAAACGCCCACTAAATTGCAGTTCACTATTTCAGCTCTTTAGATATCATTAAACTGATTCAATTTGGTACCTGGAGGAGGAGGTCGTGGCCTTGTCCTTAATCTTGTCCCTCTCATCTTTCTTAGAAGAAGGGAACTGGGCCAAGATTTCATCTAGGGACAAAAACAAGATCAAAAGAGTAGATTCACTTCAGATTTAAACAGATATAAATACACACACCACTCGGTCAATTACTAACCTGTGATATTGAACTGGGTGGCGTTGAGTTCCTGTAACAGATGGTCCAACTCACTCAGGCCTCCTCCTAACAGCGAGGAGGAGGAGAAGGCTGGAGGAGGATCCACTGTGCGGGGAGAGCGCGGTTTACACACTGTGCTGTAAAAAAGACCAAACAGGCAGAGTTCAGAAGTAACTATGATTATAAAACATAGTGCCAGTAATGTGGTTGGCTTCACTGTGGTCACTGTGTCATGAATCATACACTGGTCTTGTCCATTCATGAATGAGTCATGCAGCAGTGGTTTAAGATCCAAGCAGTCATTTTCAAAAATGGACCAAGTTTTCACCCATTTGTGTAATAATATATTCTATACATATACTAATTATTCTGAAGAAATCTGAGTTGTGGGTGGCTGTCAGGCTCTGCATCTGTGTAATGTCTCTCTCTTTTTTTTCAGAGTCTCTGTCTTGCTTTTGGGTCCTGTGCTTATCAAAATTCGACCTGAGGCATTCTGACGCCTGCAGCCAGGCCAAGAAATGTATTCCACACAGGTCATACTATATTCTGCTTATTTAGTCTGAAATTTAAAAATAACAATGGACCACAACACCATGTAAAATGGGTTACAGAAAAATCAGAAAGGGAGTTACCTGTATAATTTGTCAGGGTTGGAGTTCTGGGAAGATTTCATAGCTGCAGAAACAGTCTGAGAGGCAACACAGATGAACAATCAATCAAGCTTTTCACTAAGAAAGATACTACAAATCCAGCATTAACTCGTGGAGAATATTTGCAGGAAAAGTTCAAAATGCAGTCAGAATCAGCAATAAAAAAATTGGTATGAACGCATCCCTACTTGCTGTGGGGTGTAAGCGGGCGGCGGCGGCCGGGTTTGGGCAGGTTCCTGGGAGGCAGGATTAGCATTTTGTGGAGGGTCAGAGGTGAGTAGTACGGGAGACCGAGCTAGAGGAGAGCTGGTGTTCTCCAAATCAGCGAGGAGGGCATCTTAAGGGAGAAGAGGGGAAAATGATAAAACACAAAACAGTGTGAAAGTGATGGAGGTTGGTTGGAGTTACAGGTTTCAGCTTCAGTGGTCTGTGATGAAAATTCAAGACAAGTTCCTATTCAGTGAAATATCTCTACAATATGAATATCCCTGGTGGTGTTATTATTATTCTGTTAATGGAGTATCAAAGGCCAACTGAAAAAGATATGGGTTAAGAAATGAATTTAAAAACCATGTGGTGCAGATGGAGATGACAACACACTGGACGATGTATGATGTTAAGAAAAGGATAGATGACGTACTGGCAAACAGGATGAAACACATACAAATACATGCCCAGCAGTTACGTACCAAACACAACAATACGAGGACTGAGAGGGTAGTTAGGTGGCTCAGGCACTCCTAAGGAGAGACAGACAGCCTGTGTGACCAGTACAGCAGCAGCAAACCAGCCCGCATGTCACACGCGAAACAGAGGACAGCAAATGTCCCCAGTCACTAATCAGTCAGAGGATGGGGCACTCAGAACTGGCACCACCCAGAGGTAACGAATCCATCGTCATAGTGAGAAATACAAACATTCCTGCATTCATATGCAAGACATGGCTGAACAGAAAGGAAGCAGAGGAAGAGTGTTGGCAAGTGTTATCTAAACATCCCCTTGAATTCAAAATGTTACTTCAGTTAAAAGTACAAATGTATTCATGTCAAAATATAGTTGAAGTACCAAAAGTAAATGTACAGATGCATTATTATGAACATCTGAAGTCATAGCTGTTCTAATTTCTTCTGTGTGCTTTTACAATTTTTGTCCATGTTGGCTTAAAAGCTGAGCTTCAACGTTCATTCTTTACTTTGGAAACATCAGGTGAGACAACAACACAAAGTTGATTTAGTTGTATTTCTCCTACTTAGTGCTGCCATGAAAAGGACCTTGTGGCGAGGCTGTTTAACTGCTGTTTCCAAGCTTAAGAATGAACCTCAACCTCTCATATTCTGGCAGTTTTTATAAACTGAAATCATGGCTGCTTAATGGATGTTTGCACCAAATATTAACTCCCAATAAAGTACTGCTTCAAACATAGTTGGTGATCACAGTTGTTATAGACGTGCTAAAAGCCTAAACATAACCAGTTTGCCCAGCCTTAGTTCATCTCTGCGGTTACTTTCCCAGATGATTCACACTTCTGGTACGACCATGTGGTGAGAATCCTGTGCATATACTTCATGCCCTCCTCCTCTCTGCTATGTGTCTCTGTCTCTCTCTCTCTCTCACACTCACACACACACACACACACACACACACACACACACACACACACACACACACAAACTCATACAGACTAAACTGCTCATATAAGGAGTTGAACTTCTCTCAGTGGGAATTATGACCATATTTAGAGCTGCATGTCGACTTGTTTGTCTTGGCCAGTGGCCTCCCTAACAAGTGGCCTCTCTCACCGAAAGCCTTGCCAGATCCGGTGCATAAACCTCCAACACTGTTGAACAACAACAGCATAAATCAAGGGTCTTGAACATGGCCATTGCCTTCTCTAACACTCACCCAGTAACATGGTCTCACTGTGGGCAATCCAATCCAGATGTGCCCAGATGTGCTTGGCTCCATCTACTCATTCCTTATTGCTTAAAACTCATATACATTCCTGAGTTGTGGACATCATAAAAGAAAAGTTTCTGAGAAAACAAATGGACAAATGAGGAAAAAGGCCTTTCTATTTTCATTGAACTCTGTGGCTTTTTGAAATGGTAGTGCAGCCCTGGGCTATTTCAGGGCCTTCCTGACACAACTATTCCCAAACACAAAGCTTCTCATAATGTTGTTCTGCAAATGAGAAAAAACACTTCAATGTCTTTATCAACAGGAAAAGCTGGTCAGTCCTCTCTGACGTCTTCTCCCCTTTAAAACAGAAGACACTGTTTAACATTATGTGGCATTCTCCTCATCCCTGACTTCTGATGGATGGATATGATGGTCGGCTGTGGATCCCTTCAAATATAATTTAATTTGTAGACCATGCATGAAACACTCTATGGTGCCCAGGCATCAGCACAGCACCAGTTCTTGTATTACCTGTATGAGTATGTGTGCATTATATTAAGGAGAATATAAAATGAGAAAAGTCCTCAGTGTTTCTGCTACAGGAGGCAGTTCAATTTAGTGATATGCCATAGCTTTTCTCTGCCTAAAAGGTTATTACCTGTCTACAGCCAATAAAATTCATTTTATATAAACAGCCCCATACATGTCCTTGAGAAAAAGGAAAGCCTGTACTATGACTGCCAGAATCAACCGCGACCTTATTTCCTCTGGTTGGGCACACCACCCCTTCCCAAAGATCCCTGCCAGATATCTCAACATGTAGTTATGAAGGGCTGCACTAATACTTACCTAAATCCTCCATGATATGATTTCAGCCGAGTGGTCTCCTCTTTGTGCGAAACAGCGGGGACGTGCACTGCATTAATAAGTAGTGATGGGCATGTATCAAAGCCCGCGAGACGGGCAGCCTCGTAGCTATTGTCTGCGTCGGTCCTGAACAACTTCTTGGATACCGTTATCCGCCGAGGGAGGAGGAGGAGGGGGAGGGGGAGGAGGTTCCGTTTCGTTTTCCTCCACCCCTCTTTTCCTGTGTAATGCCTACCAGGACCTCAGACCGGAGAAGGCGTAGTTAAATAGATGCGGTCGCAAACCCGCATTCCCCGCACACAAGACGTCATCCTGGACATTCCTAGTCCATATATGGGATTGGGAACATTATGGATTTAGTGACGCTACGACGCGCGGTCGCTGCTACGGTGAACTTGTGCCTGAATAAAATATTGGAAAAAATATTGGCCTTCACAAAAAATAAACCAAGAATAAACACTGGCGGGCCAACGCCCCCTTTAAAAACAAGCTTGTAAGAAAATGTTTTATCCATTTATTTTTTTTATATTTTAATATCTGCATCCCATACCAGCATTTACAAACTAATATAAATGCATACGACTATGTGATCATTTTGAAGAGGCTTAAAAAGAAGCATGTTTTATTATAAACCTATGCTGCAAATTATTAAAATTAAAACTGATAGATTAGGTGATGTCACTGATTAAAAAATAGGGAAAAATCTCTTTTAAGAGCACTGTCTGCTTCATGCCTGGATTAAAGGAGAACACTGCATTTTTTATATAATTCACATTCCCATAAATACTCTAGAAACCAAAAGTCTCAAAGTGATTTCACATTAGATTGTGTTGAATTAAAAAAAAAAAATACCTGGGCATTTTTAACAGAATGACTCCATCATTTACTCTGCCATTTCTTATTTACAGCCTACTTATTTAATATTGAAATTACAGAATAGATTATTTCTGAAATGTCCTATTATCAGACTGACATTTCTTTTTTAGCACATCTTTGAAAGCGTGTACAAACAAGAAAAACAACTAGGGACTGAGGACTTTTTCACTCTATACAAGAGCATGTATTAAGACAAACTTAAAAATTACTTTAAGCATGTCTTCAGAGTTTCATCAAATAGTGTTCAATGTATACAAATATTTTCCAAAGGGCCCCAGAATGTGACTACCTTTGGTGCAAGTCAGTTAGTTGGTAATTTGTTTAAACAAATGTATTTAGAAAAACGCACCACACTCTAAACCTAAAAGTGTTGGATTTTGGCACAGAGCTGCTCTAAAAGACATGGCCCCTGGTTTATATTTTAGACCTGGTACACAGAGATTTTGACTTATAGCGGAAAAAGCACAGATGAAATTCACATCAAAAATTTTGGGATAAACGACTGTACTGAGTGTCTTTTCTGTGCAAGTATTTAAGTTCTTCTTCTCTGTGTTTGTGTATGTTTGGATACTTCCTTTCTCTGTGACATGGGAAATTCAAAACAGACCTTATATTTTTGAGACATTCCGTTCAGGTGAGCTGATCCCAGGCTCTTGTGCATGTGGACTCAATGCAACACCTGATTGAAAGAGCCCTTGTTAATAAAATTTGTTTCACCTGCACTTTCCCTGCTGTGGCAAATCATTCTGCCCTTTGTTGATCTGGTAAACACAATGAATTGCATTGTGCTGTAGGAAAGATGCTATATAAATAAAGTTTGATTTATTGATTGAAAATGCCTGCTGTGAACAAGGTGCAGAACTGAGCTGATATTGATGCAAGTGGTGTGAATTCCCAAACAAATGAGTAATTAGCAAAAGCAACTGATATCCAGTAGACCCTTACAATTTTGATATTGTCTTTAAATGCAGACACAAAGCTCACTTTAAAATAAACTCAACCCGAAGTGTAAAAAACAAAACAGGAAAAAGTTTTAATTAAGCAAGCTCACAGTAACAGGCTAACTTTGTGTGATTAGGGAAAGTGCACACTGATGATGGTGAGATGTTTTCAAAATTAAAGTGTGACACACACAGGAAAATGCTCCTCTTCTGTTTACTGCATCACAGACAGAATGTCCTTAGACTGTTGTCCAAGAGCCCTTGGTCTCAGGGCACAAACCATACAACCAACAAGTGACAAGTAAATCGTACTGAAAAAACAAAATGACAACAAAAAATAAAGTAGCAATCATTATAAAGAAACTCTTCCCTGATATGAAATTCGAAATGTTCAATTGGGAAAAAAAAATCTGGGCAAGGAAACTTATCAGTTGAAGGTTCATTTGTTTTTGTGAACACAAAGCCTTTGTTTTGAATTTGTTCATGCGGTTTTCCAATTCACACACTGAACTCCTCACCTATGTATGATGCTTCTGAAACACTGTGACACACAAGTATACCTTCACCTTTCCAAAATATTAATGATAATAATTACAACAACTCACACATACATAAACACATTCATACTTCCAAACCAACTTCTTCACTCAAAACATTTGAGCCAGTTGGTATCGAGCAAGAAAAATCGAGGAGCAGAACTGCATGTGATGTGGAAATCATTAAAAGTAAAAAATAATAATAATAATAATCTGTGAAGTAAACTGAAGGGATGCTGGGGTGATAGCATGAAGGAAACATGGATAGGTTGGGTTTCCTATAATGTCCCCATCCATCAAAAGAAATTACATTACATATCATCCACCCCACTACTTCTCCACTGCGGTTAATCCACACACACCAACTTCCCTCCCTGCTATCACTGCACCGCCTGTTCATTGGCAGTGCTACCAGAGTCCTGAGGCTTCATCACATCGGGTAGTTCCGGGGGGCTGGAGAAGGCCTCGATGTGCAGCTGCTCAAACATTTCATCTGGAGGACAGAGGAGACAAGGAAACATTAGCTCCCTCATGATGGCAGAGTTGCACATGGCTACATCAGTCATGTCACAAAGTTGCTGTTGTGAACATTTACTGCAAGCAAGTGTTGCTGGGTGAATGTGCATCGACTCAATTTGTTGTTTGAGCTAACTAATGACATGCTTAAAACAGGTCTGAGTAATATGCTCAAACTAAGAGTTGGGTAATTTAAGCCACAGCTACTGTATATGTCAAGGGGAATTTGGTCACATGGACTAGTTTGTTTCGTCTGAAACCAGCGAAGACCTCATGAGTATTTTCAGACTGACAACTAAAATATGATATACTCACCTTCTGTCACTCATGTCTTGTGCACTGTGAACTCATGCACAATATGGCATCAAGCTGGTTACATTGAGAGTTTGATGGTGACGTGACCAACTGACATTAAACTGCCCACATTCAACATTTTGGAGCAACATTCAGAAGCCATGCAGGGAGTAATCCATTGCAGAAGAGGTAGCAATACCGATTTTTGCATCTTTTATGACGCATTTTGAATAAAAGGCACAATGCAAATTTCTGTCAAGTGGGAAAGCTTCATTCTGCTGCAATTATAACTATTACTGTGGGTTCTAGCAAATAAACCCTATATGAAACATTTGCACACAACACCAATTTAGAGATCTTGAGGGCCTAAATGAGACTGAGGAAGATTAACTTTTCCTTTTATCATGCAAATTGTTACTGATGTGGAACTATTTCATTAAACACACAAGTCCAAAACAATAATTAGAGAATAACTCCCCACCCAGCTGAGCAGCATAATGTTGGGGGAAAAAAGCAGAAAGACAAGCAACACGTTTTGCACAAAAACACCTGAGGAAAAAAAAAAAACTAAAGTATATCTGCTTCTTAGAATCACATAAACAGCATAAATTAAACATACCATTTATGCGGAAGGCTAGACCAACTGTAGCTGGGGCTTGAGGTCTGGCAGTCTGGTTGGTGAATCCACAGTCGCCCAGAGTTTTGCTGTCCTCTAGCAACTGGTCATCCTGTGGAACAAGAATTGAAAATGTCACAGAATCCCATAATACCATCAGAATCTGTGCATTCATGTCAGTGAATTCGGTCACCCTTACAAAACAAAAGTAACATACCATTGTCACTGAAAATGCTAAGATGCATAGTATTTATTTCAACAAAACAAAAACATCTAACTAATCCATCTGATTCTGTAACACTGTCAGTTACATGACAGGACTAAGTTTGGTGTAGCTGATAAGTTTACTTTGAAGAGCCGCTGGTCTTCAGGTGGTCTTTTAAGAATTCCTTCAACAATTCGCTTCAACTCGTAGACAGTGGTAGACTCCTTGGCATCTGTGAAGATTGTGGTCTTGTGACGCCGGATCATTAAGAACACATCCTGAAAGAAAGTGGACACAGAAATATATATTAAAAACACAACTATGTCAAAGACAACTTGATTTGCTGTTTACTCCTAAAGATGACGGCTTGATGTTGGTTCCAAATAATGGTCCTCTGTAAAATACGATAAAGTTCGATAACAGACACAATCCCTCTTAATTTGGCAACGCATTGCAGTAGGATTGTCTGACTTGTGTCGTATAAATGTCCAAACATGACACCATATTAACCTGTATGTAGACTGAGCGTCTTATAAGCAAATACATTTTAAGTGCGTTTAAGTCTGTAACATAGTTGTTTTGCCCGTTTGACTGGCTAGTTAACTGCGGACAGAGGCTGGCATTTAACTAATTCATAAGCTAGTTAATCATAGCCAGCGATGGCAAGCAGGCATAGCTCTGAGCTAACGTTAAAGCGAGTTTAGCCACAGGAAACACCCTTGATATTTTTGAGTCAAAATGAGTCCTGACAGTTAAATTAATAACCGTTGTAGGTCTTCCAGTGACAGCACATACCCATCTGATCTGCCTAATGTAACGGGGTCACTGTGGTTGCCTGACGTTACGTCACTTCCAAGGTTAATCAAGCTAACTAAGATTAGTTACCTCGCTACAACCTCTTGTTAAAGATGGGAAGGCGAGGCTAACATAGCTAACTTAGCGTTAGCTGGCTAGCAAACACAAACTGAACCAAACATTTCTATAAAGAACAGTATAGTTTATTACCAAATCCTTTGAACAAAGCGTTTAACGTTGATTCACGGTTTTATCTAGGAATGAATCTCACAAAATTATCAATGATAATAATAATAAAATTACCATTTCAAGTGATCAGCTAGCTAGCCAGTTACGCCAGCTCTGTGTTGTACAGCAGAATCCCAAACTGCACCGCTTGCGGATATTGCGCAATTCGGATAGACAGTCTATTCACGAAAGGCAGGTACTCCGGACTACGTATATTGTTCAGAATTTGGCGCGAGGTAGTTACATGCTTGAAGGGTGTACGCGGCGCAGTTTGATTTGAACACAGCGGTCTTCTGAACCCCACTGTGCTGAGGACGGTGTCTCGTATACACTGGATTATGGTCTGTGCGATTATTTTAGCAAATTCAGCTTTAAATAACGTTGAACTGTCATTTACAGCATGTTATTTGGCTGTAAGTTAGCTTAGCTAGCTCACTTAGTCGTGTTGTTATGGTGTTGATGAGTGGGTAACGTTACGCCCTTGGTTAGTTAATGTTAGCCAGAATTTGTGGAGGTGACATTTGCGAATGCCAAGAATGAATAGTGCTACTTTATGAAATAATGTTAATTAGCCAAGCTAATTTAACAGAGTAACTGAAAATGACAGTACAGTGCTTTACTCAGTTAATCTAAGTAACGTTACGTTACATTAACAGCTCTTTTCTACCTCATAACGCCCATAGCTTCCCACTTTATATACCTGTTGCTCTGCAAATGAGCTGACCAGCTTGTCAAGCAGGATGTTCAGGATGTCAGATTGTGATAAAGGAATGTAACCAAACTGGACAGAAAAGGCTTTATTTTGTTTTCTTGTGTTCTGTGGTAAATGAGTATGATAAATTAGTTCTTCATAATTTTAGAAAAGCACATTTATGTGCATCTGTATATAAAAAAGTACATTGAATTAACTATCAACTAAAATGTTAAAGGTTTTCTTTTGACTATTACAGCACACTGTCTTCAAACTAAGGCGCTGAAAAGTCCCTACATAATGTCAGTGGCAGTGGAAACCACAGTGTCCAGGGTGCCTCTCCCTGTTCCAGCCCACTTCGCCCATGCAGAGCAGTCCTTCTCCCTCAAAAAGCGTCGTCTCCCTTTTTCCTCATCGTCTATGTCCAACTCATCCTGCTCTTCTCCTGCCTGGCTCTCACATTCTTTGCCCCCCTTGCCACCATCAAAGGGATGTCCTTTGAGCAGGATGTTCCCGCAGCATTCATCCCCCTGGACACCCCTGTCTTGTTCGCTTAGTAAGTCTTTGCCTCCAAATTCTGTATATGACCGCAGCAAACAGCAGTCATATTTCAGTCAGTGCTTCACTAATTTGGGCCTGCTGGGAAGAGGATCCTTTGGAGAGGTCTACAAGGTGAGTAAGACAGAAATATGTGTGTCTGTGTGAATGAAACTGGTATGTGTATATACTCTGCAGACAGGTGACAAATTAAAGGAAAAACCTTATGGGAGTGGTCTCTTCTAGGATGATAGTACCCCTGACAATACTGTAGGACATGAGGGGTCAGGGAATGGTTTGATGAGTATGAAAATGATGTGAATTATTTGCTGTGACCGTTGCAGTTACCAGATCTCAGTTGAACACCTATAGGAGATTTTGGTTTGACGTGTTAGTGTTTCCACCACCATCATCAAAACACCAAACTAGGGAATGTCTTTTGGAAGAATAGTCTTCATCCCTCCAGTAGAGGTCAGAATCAATGCCACATTGCACTGAAGCTGTTCAGGTGGCCCAACACCTTACTAAGATACTTTATGTTGGTATTGCTTTTAGTTTGTCACCTTACCTGTGCATATGTTCTATTATATGTTGCTTTATTTTACATTATCAGGGACAGGATGGATGTTGGAAGTGATGTGATAAAAAAAAACAAACAGCTGTCCATCTTCCTAAAGAAATAATACTGTGTTTTTGTTGCATACCTGAGCAAAACTGATGGCTCAGGATGAATCACGTGTAGAATGAGAAATTAATAGCCTCTGGTATGAAGATGAGAAGTAAAGCCAGGTTGAAGATTTAAAAGCTATGGGCAGTGCATATTATCTCTTACATGTCTTACTTGTCTTTTGTTTCTGGACATTGGGTTAGTTTGAAAGGAAGTCATGTTATACAGTATGTATCACAATATATTCAAATATTATATATTAAGTCATATTTTCTGTCTGACCAAGATAATCATTTTGAGTTTCCTGAATAGATGACAAAGCCTCAGCAATGTATTTATTTTTCTAGGTGCAAAGCAATGAGGATGGGCACCAGTATGCAGTGAAGCGCTCTGCTCAACGCTTCAGGGGTAACGGCGAGAGGAACCGGAGTCTGAGGGAAGCCCGGAACCATGAGCGCCTGTGTCCTCACCCTCACATCCTGAATTTTGTGGCAGCCTGGGAGGAGTGGGGCCGACTGTACATTCAGACAGAGCTGTGTAGCACCAGCTTGCTGCTCCATGCAGAGAGCAAAGCTCCTGGCCCAGGTCTGTGTGTAAAGGACAATAAGGCAGATGCTAGCACTGGCTTTTAATACACCTAATATACTATGCTTGCTCCAGTTAATTGTCACATTCTAAGCATTACTGACAGGGCTTTATTTTAAAACTTTCCAATCCAGATGAGCCTGCAGCATGGGCCTATCTCTGCGACCTCCTGTCAGCATTGCAGCACTTGCACTCTCATGGCTTTGTTCATCTGGACCTCAAGCCTGCCAATGTCCTTATCACTGACTCTGGCCGTCTCAAACTGGGTGACTTTGGGCTGCTATTTGAGCTCAATCAGAAGAATACAGCACCAGTGGAGGGGAAAGTGAAAGAAGATGCTCAGGAGGGCGATCCCAGATACATGGCCCCTGAGCTGCTCCGTGGGGAGTATGGCCCTGCTGCAGATGTTTTCAGGTACAAATTCCATATATGAGAAAATTAAACAATATCCTATAATATTTAACTGATTGATAAGCACCTAAATATATCATTTTTATTCAGTTTGGGTGTTTCTATCCTGGAGCTTGCTTGTAATATTGAGGTTCCAAATGGTGGCGAAGGCTGGCAACAGCTCAGACAAGGCTGTCTTCCTTCAGAATTTACTCGTGGTAAGATCCTCTTTATAAGTCCTCATTTGTCTGATGTTTTTTATTCAGATGACTTATATCTTTAATATTGCACTTTGTTTTTTCAGGTTTGTCAACCGAGCTGCAGACAGTCCTGCGGATGATGCTGGCTCCAGATCCCTCTGAGAGGCCAACAGTCTCTGAACTTCTTGTCCTCCCTTCTGTTAGGAAACACAGATGGAAAAGGCGCATCTATCTAATGATCACCGAGACAGTATTAACACTGGCCTCCCTTTGCCATGTAAGGTTTTTTTTTAAACATTTAACATTGGGAGTTTGATTTACATGATTAAATATGTAGCCTTACTCTGAGTGACTTAACATGGTATCAGCAGTCTTTACAAAGTCAAACATTAAACAGGCTTATGTAAAAATATGCAACATCTAAGGCAACCTGAAACATACATGTATGCTTCTTCTCAACACCAAACCATATGTTTTTATTTTCCTGGGCTTTTTCTCATAGTTGGTGGTGTGCTTCGGGTGTAGGCTCCTGTCCTCCCTCAACTTGTCCTTTCTTCCTCGTCACACCAAGCCAGTGCCCTGCACTCCTCCACGGGACAGCTGGGAGCAGGATTTAACTCTGCCCCTCAGTGCCATGCATGCTGATTTGGGGAGCCCAGAGGATGATGCCGTGTTTTCGCTGGGTCCGACAGACCCAGAGCTTTCTCCCACCTTCTCACACAGGTAGAGAATCTCTCTGTCAATCGGGTGATGAGCTTGATGAGCTAGTTGCCCTGCTCTTTAATCTGAAGGCACAGAAGAGAATTTCTCACTTTGGATCACTTGAGTTTATAAAATGTGACTAGTCCATATGTACAGTGGTGTGAAAAAGTGTTTGCCCCCTTACTGATTTCTTATCTTTTTGCATGTTTGTCACACTGTAATGTTTCAGATCGTCAAACAAATTTATATATTAGTCAAAGATAACACAAGTAAACACATCATGCAGTTTTTAAATGAAGGTTTTTATTATTAAGGGAAAACAAAATCCAAAACTATAGAGCCCTGTGTGAACAAGTGTTTGCCCCCCTGTCAAAACACTGGTTTATCGCACCTGAGTTCAATTTCTCTTGCCACACCTGTTCGCAATCAAGAAATCACTTAAATAGGACCTGCCTGACAAAGTGAAGTAGACCAAAAGATCCTCAAAAGCTAGACATCATGCCGAGATCCAAAGAAATTCAAAAACAAATGAGAAAGAGAATAATGGAGCTCTATCAGTCCGGAAAAGGTTATAAAGCCATTTCTAAAGCTTGGGGACTGCAGCGAACCACAGTGAGAGCCATTATCCACAAATGGCGAAAACATGGAACAGTGGAGAACCTTCCCAGGAGTGGCCAGCCGACCAAAATTACCCCAAGAGCGCAGCGACAACTCATCCAAGAGGTCACAAAAGACCCCACAACAACATCCAAAGAACTGCAGGCCTCACTTGCCTCAGTTAAGCTGAGTGTTCATGACTCCACCATAAGAAAGAGACTGGGCAAAAATGGTTTGCATGGCAGAGTTCCAAGACGAAAACCACTGCTGAGCAAAAAGAACATAAAGGCTCGTCTCAGTTTTGCCAGAAAACATCTTGATGATCCCCAAGACTTTTGGGATAATACTCTGTGGACAGACGAGACAAAAGTTGAACTTTTTGGAAGGTGTGTGTCCCATTATGTGTGGCGTAAAAGTAACACCGCATTTCAGAAAAAGAACATCATACCAACAGTAAAATATGGTGGTGGTAGTGGGATGGTCTGGGGCTGTTTTGCTGCTTCAGGCCCTGGAAGACTTGCTGTGATAAATGGAACCATGAATTCTGCTGTGTACCAAAATATCCTGAAGGAGAATGTCCGGCCATCCGTTTGTGACCTCAAGCTGAAGCGAACTTGGGTTCTGCAGCAGGACAATGATCCAAAGCACACCAGCAAGTCCACTTCTGAATGGCTGAAGAAAAACAAAATGAAGACTTTGGAGTGGCCTAGTCAAAGTCCTGACCTGAATCCAATTGAGATGCTGTGGCATGACCTTAAAAAGGCAGTTCATGCCCGAAAACCCTCCAATGTGGCTGCCTATTTAAGTGATTTCTTGATTGCGAACAGGTGTGGCAGTAATCGGGCATGGGTGTGGCTAGAGAAATTGAACTGAGGTGCGATAAACCAGAGGTAAGTTATGTTTTGACAGGGGGGGCAAACACTTATTCACACAGGGCCATATAGTTTTGGATTTTGCTTTCCCTTAATAATAAAAACCTTCATTTAAAAACTGCATGATGTGTTTACTTGTGTTATCTTTGACTAATATATAAATTTGTTTGACGATCTGAAACATTACAGTGTGACAAACATGCAAAAAGATAAGAAATCAGTAAGGGGGCAAACACTTTTTCACACCACTGTATGTTATATTTTAGAAATGTCTTTTGTTGTATGGATATTGTACAAGTAAAGAAATGGCTACTGGGCCACTATTGTTGTCTCTGCCTTGACTTTAATTTGTTTTCGTCAAATCCCCTGCTTAATTTTTTACCTTTCTGAACTTCCACAGGGTCAAATCTCGATTGTCTGTGGAAAGCACATCCACTCCTCTCCCAGGTTCACCACAACACAATCATCGAAGTCCTGCCCACACACCTACTCACTCGCAACAGAGTGACTGGTCCTCCTGTAACTTGGCTCAGACCCCCTCCAGCATCCACTCAAATGGTTCTTGCCACACACTGACCCCCAGTGCCAGCCCCATACATGCAGAGCACCATACAAATAGCATCAACTCCCTTCAGAGGCGACATCCTTCATCCACCAAGTCCTCACAGCGGCGTAATTACAACTGGGTCCTTACAGAGGAGGTTTTACCCCGACCTAACCTTGAACCCAAGAACCTGCTGAGCTTGTTTGAGGAAACAACCCTAGAGGAACTGCCATAAGTGTAAGACTGCCACTTCACATTCAGGGACACCGTTTTTCAGTTCAAGTGTCAGAGAATGAATGAATGTACCCAGTTTACTCTTGGATTGTATAGCTGTTTTTTTCGTTCTGCCATTTTGTAAGAGTCCTATAAAAGCTTCTGGTAGTGATTATTTAAAAAGATGAATTTGGGGCAAATTAATGAATATGTAATCAGACTGTAAAGCACTTTTTATGTTTGTAAATATCTGTTATTGTTTATTGTTGCATAAGATGCCATTAGTCTTGTGTACTCTTGAGTCATGTACCTTAAGAGTTACAAAAGAATAAAATTAGGGAACCTGAGAATCCAAACTTGTGGAAAATTTTTTTACCTTATGGAACTTTCATAATATAATTAGGAAGGAAAAGTTGGAAAGCTTGAATATCTGCATTGATTAATGTAGATAAGGATCAGAACTAGCTGGGATGTTTGCGTATTAACCAGTAGATGGCAGAAGCGCACCTCACGCTTGAAAGACCTAGGATGTGGATGGTAATGATTTGTGCACTCAACAATACCAACATCTGTCAGGCTGTCTAATTCCCAAGCCGTTACTTGTACTCCAACTACGTTCATCGAGCATATATGCCTGACCTGGCCATAATTCTGCAGCCTGGATGCGTATCTCTACCTAATTGTGATCACTGAATAATGAACATCTCAAACCAGATCACTATTAGATAATTGGAAATTCATGAAAGACTGCAGCAGTATTTCATGGGATTATATTAGCTTTAAGTTAAGCATTGTCAATAAAATATAATAACGCTATTCCTGTTAGCCTATTAAATACTGAGATCGTGTTGGTTTTTGTAATTCCTACAGCACTGACATAACATTGAAATATTTTTCCTGTGTTATCGGCAGTCAGAATTTTAGTAGGGGCAAAGTCATAATAATAATACTGTTTAGAAAATGATCTACAGTATCTGGAAAAGTCAATTGCATGAGTTAATATGCATTCTTTTATTAAAATAGCCTGTTCAAAAGAACGTCAAAATTCCCACTAAATAAATAAAAAGAATCCCTGCTGTTTGTCAGAAGTTTAGACAGTTTACTGTGTTACTGTTACCATAGGTGGGCTTAAGTCTAGGCTGAAGGACTCAATTAGCAGACTCGGACAGAATATTTAAGATGACTATTACAAACAGTTAGAGTAAGGAGTTAGTGTCCCAGGCAGGAGTCAACCAATCCTGTGTCTATGTGCCCAGTGAGGACTGTAGCAGGTGCTGGGAGGTTGATGACTAGAGAGGTGCCAATGAGGCAGGGCACTCTGACAGACGTGGTGGTTGGACTGAGGCTGCTTAGGTGATGGCAAAATGTTACAGGTGAGTGTGTATGATAAATTCTGTTCTATATTGCCAAAAAGATTTAATTGATCACATCCCATCTAAATCGCATACATATACTGTATATATTGTATAGTATGTAGAAGTAATGCAGGTCCATCTTTTGGAGAAAAAAGATGAACCAACAATACAAGTTTGTGTTTTGTGTCTATCTGTTGTGAGGTAAGATAAGGTGAATTACATTGTTGCACCTCATTATGTCAGTTTATGACATGACATGACACAGTGTCTTTCCCAACACTTTGAGGGTATTTCCTAATTCCAAAATTTTCAGCAGGTACTTCCCTTTCCTTACCAACCAGACGAGACTTGTTTAAGTTTGATGTTAAAGCACTGCCTGCTTAAGAAGCTGTGTCATTTCCTAGTTAATACATTTTTCTTTTCACTAAGGCAAACTACAGGACCCTGCAACAGATTTAGGAGGTAAGTACCTATTTCATTTTATTTTATTTACTGATATGTTTGCTACATCTTTGGTCAAAAATAAACACCTTGAAGATAATATAGTAAAACTACTTTATGTCTAATGTTTTAATATGCTTTAGATTTCAGTTTGACCTGGAAACAAATCAAACCAAGATTTAACATTATGTTGAATGGACATTACAATAAAGTTTTTTTTTTACCTGCAGTGGAACGGGCACAAGTGTTGAAGTGTTAAATGAACATGAAAGAACAAAATCCATCAACGATGTTAAAGAGGCATGTGTAAAGTATTGTGATTTTGTTTCAGATTCTTTGGAGACGAAGTTGTCATAATGCAGACTGTGAAGTGTGTGGTTGTTGGAGATACTGATGTAGGAAAGACCCACCTACTC